TTGGAGGCCACCCGAACGTTATTTACTTACCTGGAATACGCCATTGCACTCGCCAGCGTCCACATCGTGCTTACAAACATTTGCGAAGTCACTGACGACCACTGGAGCTGCTGGAATAGAACCACTTTACATACCAGCTCAGTTGAAGAAGAAACCTTCATAGGAGAAGGAAGTATGCAATAAATGACCAAGAGAAAGCAGTAAAGGACAGTGAGCTTTACTGTTCGGTGCACTGACAGGGCATACTTCTCTGCACTCGTGTGCACCTTCGCATGACAACTATTCGGCACCGGTACTCTTCGGTGATAGTAGCTGGGCGACTGCCCACTCTGCGGTTGTCACGCAACGTCTACTGATGTCCTAACAGTTTATTAGCTTAGTTGTCCTCCTAACCCCTTGCCTTGGAAATTTACAGTGTAGGGAGAATTTTGCTGTTCGCAAGGCACATACGTACGACTTAACAGGTCGCAGGTCGTGGCTTTGTTCAACCCAAATGTTCAATGATACAAGTCCAAATTGGCCGAAGTGACGTCATGGCAAGTGACACCGCTTACCACACCCACGGTCCCTGAATTGAATCCCAGACCTTTCAGGGTCATCCGAGCCTTCTATTCCCCCAAGGCAAGTGATTGCTACCATATTTGCCTGGAAGGATGGAAGTTTTCACTTGCACATCGGCTGCCCCTCCCCCGACCCTCCCCCTACACTTCTTTAATTCTTTGTTGAGGCAGCCCGCATTCAAAATGCTACTACGGCTCTCATTTAGAGTAGAATGTAGGGCTCCCAGGAAATTATTGATCGATTACAAAAATAATTCTTTCCTGTGGTTATTCCAATGTATTGCTTAGTTATCCTTTGATTCCAATAAGTCCAACATCCACTAACTTCAGGATATAAAACTTTATGAAACTTATTAATAACAGTGTTTAGTTTGAACTTTTTTAAATGGGGAGAGCACTTACATTCTTTGTGGCAGATTGCCATACATTCCTCACGACTAGCGTAATTGTTGCCATTTCCCTGACATCCGGTGTAAGTGAACACATCGCAGATCTTGAAATAGAATTTTTTTAGTTCGGAAATTGGCTTAAAGGTTCAATCAAAAAACACTGGAACACAATACGATTTCAAAACAAGCTGTTCACCTTTTTTTCAGTGTCCCAGTACCAACGGATGAATTGTCCTCGGCAGTTTCCGGGATCTTTCGGATGAAGGCAACGATTCACTGAAAATGGAATGGCCTGATCAGGTCACTTTCATTCCTCAAAGTAAGCGTTCCTGCGACTATTCTAGCATCAATTGCACGTAGCAGTGAAGCCGAAAACCGCTTGCTGTTGCTGTTAGCGAGTGGTAATCGAAGGGTGTAGTGAAGCAGAAGTCGGTGAAACTCCAGTTCGGGGGGGGGGGGGGGCACTCCATTGCTATCTTATCCGTAGTACTAGAGAGCAGTTCTTTGGGCTATCGAACACTACGGATAAGATAATAAGTGAACGACTCATTTCGAGCGTACTTTTGATAAGGACCGGTGGATGTCCTACATTCCACACTACCTGCCCACATCCCATCCACTTTTCTGCACAGGTGATCCACCCTGGAGCTCCTGCACCCTTAGCCCTTTGCGGAGGTGTCCTTTCTCCTGGTCCAGGACCGTTCCCTTGGGTCATGGCAGGCGGAAATGTGAAAACGTTTCAGGGTTTCTCACCCATTACACCAATATTTATCAGAAGTCTACTTTAAATGAGTCGATTACGTGTCGTGAGCCCTCTAATCCTTATCTTGAGTATTGGAGAAAAAATGGAGTGGCCCCCCCGAACTGGAGTTTCACCGGATTCAAGCGATTGATTTGCAATGCATTATCTGCAGTATGGAGTACACTAAGGCGTTACAACCTCTTCGTCGCCATTTGACTGCAACAGGGTGCAGCTTCCAAAAGAGGAAGAGTCTGTCGATCTTTACCGACCGAATTCAGCATCTTTTCACTGAATTCTTTCTTAGGGCGTAGCTTGAAGAACTTCGGGAGAAGGTGGTCATTCCTATCGACTTGTGAATGTGCTAAAGTTGAAGTGGAGAGGGGCTGTGCG